TTTATGAGTCAAAAAGATTTTCCCAATGAAGGTTCTTGCCTTGAACATGTATTGAGACTCGCTAAACTTCAATGGGAACTCATATATACGAAATATTAGCTGTGATTCTGAAATGCTCGATTCTGTATTTCTCCAGTAGTATCTGACTCACCCTGCTATAGAACATCTTTATTGGGCCTCCTGGAGACCAAAAAATTGCTAAAATAGTTTTTGTAACTAAGTTGACTATACAGGGCCTTTTAATGCAATTTCCACAAAACCTCTAAGGATAATCTAGTTCTTTTTAGTATTGCTCAGTTAGTATTTATCTGGCGAATTATGGATTGAATTCATGGTTTGTATCACCAACCTTTTTAACCCCAGGTCGCCATGCCATGACAATTTGTTGTAGTTCTCTTTGGATTCCTTAAACCTAAAATTGTATATTGATTAGTACTACCCTTCTGTAACTGCTTTGTCACGTTTTGTACGATACCTTAGCTACCTGTTATATTTTGGTCACTTGCTAACCTTGAATACATGCTACCATTTGTCTTTTCTTTTCTTTATTAGAGTCTTCATATTGTGTTATATCTACGCTTTGGTCTGATGACTATTGAATGAACATTAATATAAAGGTCTTTGTGATTTCATTGTTTTGCTAAAATCTTTTTCCATGTTCCTTCTCTTAATTTTAGTGGGTGACTTTGGTTAAGTTATTGAATGAAGATTTTATATATACTTCCGGATACGCTCACAAAGCTGCATACAGTGAATACTCTACAAAGATGTGGGAAAATAATTTGAATATAAATTAGTGTCAATACCTTTTTGTCTGACGGAAGAAAGTAACTGTAATATATAAAAAATAGTTCCCATCGAATGATGAAAATGTGAAAACACAGAAACAACATTCGATCACATACTCACATCGCATATGACCAGAACATGCACGTTCAGAGTGATTATAGATAGTCATTTCCCTGTATTTTTGTTTAACAAAATAGGTAACACCTACTTTATTCTTTTTTATGTGGTCTTTAAGAGATGAATGATTCTGGCTTTCTAAAATTTCCTTATCCATTATAGCGCTACCAAATATTTGTCTTTTACCTTTTCGTTTTATCCTTTCTTGCCATCTATTCACACATAAAGCAATAAAATGCTATCCCCCGAGTTTCATTGCTTAGTATGTTTTTACCAGCCCTTCTTCCAATAATGGGTCCTAAAAGTTCAACTGTCTCTTTCTGATTTTTTTCTTGATGCATTCTCTGAATGAATAGTTCAAATATATTTGCCAGACATCATTTTCTGTTTTGTTTTATCTTAAACCTTCAACTCGTTGTAGTCCATTGGCTCTCGGATACTAAAACTACGTATATTCTTCTTTTTGTATAACTTTGCTATGATCTTTAGATGGTTCATTTTGTCTTTGGAAAATTGGAAATATTGCTTCATTCTATGTTTGTCGTTTTAGTAATTTAATTTTCAGATTAGATGTGCCAACCGTATTCATTTTTCCTCTTATCTTATGCATTTATTTAAAATCCTAAGTTGGTCTGATAAAAGGCCTTGATTAGTGAGACTCACAAAAAGTACAACACTCCCAACTTTCGAGAACATAATACTAGATTGTTTACTGTTGTTAATAATAAAAGCGACCAAGGCCGAAAATGTTGGAACGAAGATTAATTGGTTTGTATTTTATGGTTTATCAACCATTTTTTTTAAGTAGACGCAGTATTTGAAACCGAAACTTTTTTATAGTATGTAAGTATATTTTTGCGAATGAATAATTCGTTAACAATTTTGGGGAGATAACAAAAATTTGTCCAGATACAATTTTTACTATTTAACCCTGAGCTTGGGGAGAAGTGATAGATTGAAAATAAATGTAGGGTTGTTTTAAGTATATTTTTAAAAATTATTCCTCAACCCAAATAATTGGTAAAATTGCGGCATTATGGTTGGATTAGTCTATTCTATATATATTTGTGCATAAGAGAATACATCAAATTCTTTTAGAATTCGAACTCGGCTCTCTACTTCTCATTCTGTGCCGCTATCCATTAACCACCCACCACCCACTACATACACGTTCGATGAGGAAAGGTCATAAACAACTGTGTATTAATTAATATATTTAGTGATAATCCATCATATATCCTCTTGGATATACATTATATTCCTACTACTCCAAACTTGATATTGCAATTACGCCAATTTTGGGGATGATGAATAATAATAAAAATTATATACAAATAAAAGAACGTGTTTATTTACAATGAATAAATATAGTTTCCATAAATTCCTAAAAATGCTTTAATTATTATTTCCCCAACAATGTCAATATGGTGTCTGTACTGTTACTCAGTACCAAGAGACTCAAGGCAACAGAAATGTTACCCTAAAGAAGTATGCTGAGAAATGATGTGGCAACAATATTCAATTTTCCTTTTTCTTTATGCATTCATTTTAAATCCTAGGTTAGTCTGATAAATGGCCTCAGTTATTTTCCATCTTTTTCTTTACAACTTCCTAGTTACTCACGTGTTCGATCCATGGCATTCTCAGTATCCGTCAGGAGAACCATAACTCTAATGCGTCAATTTTCTCATTGTCCCGCATTCACTGTTCAACCAGAGGATAGATAAGACATGACTTTTCAGAATACATTTCCTTGTCTGTAACGAGCTTTCTCCGTGAATTCATACTTTGTTTTTGTAAGGCCTGATTTACTATTCCTTTGAGCGTGAGAATATTTGTATCACTCTTTCCGTCGTCTCTTAGCAATCGAGTCAGCTCAGTATTTAGATGGGCAACCGCTTCGAAACATCTTTTACTGTAAGTAACCTCCTAGAATGTAATATGTTTCAGTTTTAAATAACCCATTGATAAGTACTGATAAGCCTTAAAAACAAATCACTCACTCAATAATTCAATCAATCGACCAATCAATCCGTGCTCTGTTATCATCTTAGATAATTAAATTACTGTCCCTGCTTGATTCTGAAGCATCTTGTATATTATTCAAATAAGCAAATTGATAATGAAATCGATAAATAAACCAGTGGTCTGTCCCGAGAAAAATGCCGAGATAAGATTATTGTGATCTTAGACAAAACAAATACCTTTTTTTTATTAATTTAACATAAATAAACAGCGTTTGATAAAGTATGTCACAGCGAAATGCAGGAACTGCTAGAAAAGCTTGATATATTTAGGAAGGATATTAGAATAATCCACAGGTTATACTGGAGAGAAAACACCTGCATACGGATGGAAAGTGAATACAGAAAATAAACAAAAATAGAAAAGGGCCTACGACAAGAATGTGTCTTATCACCAGATCTATTAAAGCTTTATAGTGACGCAATACTGAGTCAATTCTACCAGGATTCATTATTGGCGGCCACAATCATAGCATTAAATATGTTGATGACAGTGTTGATAGCAAATGCAGAAAAAACTTCAGTAGCGTTATCAAACATATGGTAATGAAGGAAAGTGAGAAGAAAGGAAAAATATCAAAAGCAACAAGACAAAAGGCATGGCTGTCTGTGAAAGAAACATTCCAACATCCAAGTTACAAATTGGAGATACCAAAATCAATCAAATACAATAATTTAAATATTGGGGAAGTGTTTTTAAAAGAGGTAGGAAAGTGTGACACTGAAATCCGAAGGCGCACTGGAATAGTGAAAGTGCCTTCCAAAAGCTAAGTAAACTATTAAGGAAAAGAAAAATGTCTTTAGAAACAAAGAAAAGAGTACTAAAATTTTACGTAATATCAGTGCTCCTACATAGCAGTGAATGCAGGACACTTGCCTCGAGAGAAAGAAGAGACTTGAAGCAATAAAAATGTCGTTTTCCAGAAGGATGCTAACAATAATATGGACCGAACATGTGGGCAACAACGAGGTTTTAGAGAAAATGGAGACACAAAGGACAGTTTTACTTAATATCAGGGAGAAACAGTTGAAATTTCTAGAACATATAATGCGGAAAGAGGGTTTGGAAAATTTGACATTCACAGGGCATCATAAAGGCAAGAGAGACGAAGAAAAACAGCGAATAACCTACCTAACGAGATGGCAGAACATGATTTCAGAGGGATGACAAAAAAACAACATTTAACAATGAGTTATAAACAACAGAAAATTGTTGAGAGCTTTGCTTGTCCAGGTCCTAAGAAAAAGGTCATAATTTAACTTAATATTTTAAAAATAATTAAATAGAATTCTTTATTGCTGTAGAAATACAAATTTCACTGAATCAGCAGTAGCTACTATTGATGGATAGAAGCTATGCGTGTTGCATGTGTTTATTTTTTTATCAAACTTTACCTTCCATTATGTTTAGAAGTTTAATCTCATTTTATTTTTGTCCTAAGATTACTATGGTTTAAAATTTACGTATCAAATCGACCGTATTTACCAGATTTTTTTTTGTTTTGTTTTTTTCTGAAGTTTCGAAAATTTATTGTGCGAAGGTTAAGGTTTTGAAAAGTCTATGTTAACCCCAGAGGAAGGTTATCTATGCCAGACGATAAACTGAATTTCTGTATTTTATGCAAATTGTCGAGACATATTTCCAGAAAAAAAAACAACTGCGGCCTTGATGCTAGCAAATACACTATACATTTTGAAAGCGATTATATGTTGCAATACATTATTACAATAGATTTCACCGACTCTCTGTGGAGAAGCGACTGAAATAAACAACACGTCAAAATTGATAAAGTTATTTTAAATACTGTATGGAATGATTTTTATAAGGCAAATAATGCGTACCCTCTTTCTTCGGAAGACACTCGGCTAAGATAGATGTATTTGTTGTAATAGCTGTAAATAGATTTTGGTTTATCGCAAGCTCTTTAGGACAGACTAAAGCTGGATACAAACAATAGACATTGTTCTACTTTTCATTGTTTTTCATTTCTGCGTTTTCTTTCATTAAAACTGCTCTCTGTCATGCGCACTTTTTATATTTTATATCATTCCCCAGAACTCCATCTTTAGGTTCTTCCCCAAATCCTCTTATTTTCTCATTCTTTTTCTCCTTCTATACTCTTTCTAAATTCTATTCTTTTTTCTTATATTTATTTCGTTATTTTTTCTTCTTTTTCTTGTGCTTCTTTGACAGTTCTTTCTTCCTTTTCCTCAGAATATATTTTTCTATTGTTTCTTCCTGAATTTCTCTTTCTATAATTTCTGTCCATTTCTAGAATGCACATTTCTATTCTTTCTTTCAATTTTTTTTCTTTCTTTTTTTCTTCCTTTTTTCTAGAATTTCTATTTCTACTCATCTTCTTTCATTCTAGAATTTATCGTTGTTACTTTGTTCCGAAATTTCTTCCTCTTTTTTTCAGAACTTCACTTTAATTAATTTTCCAGAACTTGTCGTTCTTATTTTTTTCAAAAAATTATCTTTCAGTTTTTCTTCATTTTTTGCCAGATTTTTTCTATTTTATCTTCTTTCCAAAATGTATTTATTCTCTTCTCCATTTTTCTATATTTTCTCTTTCTAATCATTCTTCATATTTTTCAAAAATGTTCCTCTTTATATTTCCAGAATCTTTTTTAAAAAAATTGTTTTTTTTGCCATTTTCCAAAATTTCTCTTTCTTCCTTTTTTCCAGTAATTCTTTTTCTATTATTTCTTTCTTTTTACCAGAATGCTTTTTAATTTTCATTCCTCCTTTTTTGCAGAATTTCTTATTCTCATAATTCTTTTTTTTTTTTTTCCAAAATTTTGCTTTTCTTTTTTTCTTTCCAGAATCTCTCTTTTTTTTTCCATTTTTCCAAACTTTCTCTTTCTTCTTTTTCTATGATTTTTCTTTGTATTCTTTCTTCCGTTTTTCTAGAATTTCTCATTCTTTTTCTTGATTTTTACTTGTTACTCATTCTTCTTTTGGTCCAGAATTTATTTCTTCCATTTCTCCAAAATGTTCTTATTTTCATTTTTTCCAGAAATTAGCTTTTTTTTTCTAGAATTTCTCTTTCGACTTCATATCCAATTTTTTTTTCTTTCTTCTTATTTCCATAATTTCCCGCTCTTCATTTTTTTCCAAAATTTATCTTTCTTCCTTTTTGCCCCAAATTTCTCTTTCTTCTTTTTTAGAAAATGTCTTTTTCTTCCGTATTTACCAGATTTTCCCTTTCTTACGTTTTCCCCAAAATTTCTCTTTACCTCCTCTTTTTAAGAATTTCTATGTTATCTTTCTTTTCCTGTATTCCTTACTCTTTTAATGTTAGAGGCAATAACATTCGATCTATTTACTAAAATGTCCAAAGTCCCATTACTCTTAAGCCTTTGCCTTTTCTGTTTTTCTGATTTCTATTTATTTTCTTTGTTCCGTTTTTTATTCCATTACTTACCTCTTTATTCCTTTAAAGCCTCGCCATTCCCTTCTAAATCTCCTTCAGTTTGCTGTCATTTTTAATGCTCTAATCCATCCCGATTCCCTTTCTATTCTCCTCTCCTTCTACACTCCCTTTTCCAATTGATGCCAATCCCAATGTTTTCACTGTCTTTCTCTTTATTGGCTCTCAGGCAAAAAACACAATTACTCACCTGCACATCAAAAGTTTTTATCCAATAATAATACGAAAATTTTTTCAACCGATATCATTGCTAACTTTAGAGGTTATTGCGGGGAACAACGGATATTGCTAAGAAACCTCTTTCGACGCCTAGTGCGATGATGAGACATCGATCCCCAAAATAATCATCTGTGGAAAGCTTCCACCCCGTTGTACCGGAAGTTACCACACCACCTCTCAGTTCTTAATAGACGAAGAAACAGATTTGAAGGAGTATTTTGTGAGAGAGCCGGCGTTTGTGTGGTATCAAATTGAATATTTATAACCAGTCAGTAAGTCAGACACAGACACAACTCACTTGTAGCCACCGACCATTGATTGAACAAGATAGATATTTTAACAAATTGACAATGTCGATTCGCTCATTTGTCTAATGTTTCATTTTAGCTGACTTTTACTGTCGCTTTTAGTTGTTTCCCTCTGAACAAAAGCATTCAGCTTCTACGCCGAGAATGTTCTCATTTTATTATGTATGTGTTTGATTTCAAATGTGGCTGAAAACACCATCCTTCCTCACACATAATATTACGTTTTGACTGTAAATTCAAAGCCTTGGTATTTCGAGACAAGATATTATCGTTTGCTGACAAGGAAATAATAATTATGGATTGGGATTAAAGGAAAGGTACACGTAATTTTATGGGGTTTTGAATAAGAAAATTAGTAAAAAGTAAATTAATACAGACTTTTTTTGTCTATATTTCTGAGATGAGATATTATGTACACTGGGATAGGCGGTTACAAGAGAACAACAACACTCAGAAAACAGTCTGCCTCCCTTATGTAAAAGGGTTATCGGAGAAAATACAAACGATACTCGGTCAATATTACATTAGGACAACCTTCAAAAGCGGGATATCTCTCCTGAGGAAGATCCCCACCCCATAGAGGAGAACATGACTAAAGACTGTGTATACGCTATCCCGGGCAGATGCTGAAAGAAATATAAAGGGGAGATAGGCCACCCCTTTAAGGTAAGGCTTCAAAACCACCAGAAAGCTGTAACACGAGGGAAATTGGAAAAATCAGGCGTGGCTGACCACATATGGACAGAAAAGGGAGATCACCGCCTTCCGTGGGATCAAGTTGAGATCATAGACAAAGAACATCATTGGAAAATTCGGAAACTTAAGGAATCAGCACATATTCTAGGCCACAAAAATCTCCTGAGCCGACCAAGCATAGAAATAAATACAATATGAGAACCAGTAATAAGGAGTGCCAAAGAAAAGCGATAACAACAGCAAAATTGCAATATGATCACTGGCAAAAAATGACTGCTGAAATTTATAATACCCAGAAATTCATACAAAGGTGTCCTCAAGGACACATGGTACAGTGGGTAAAGCTCTTAGTTAGATCCAGTGACAGGACCCAAAGAGTTTGAGTTCAATATTGTTTAAGGCGGTGAACTTTCAGAGTGGAATTAAGAGTAGATAACTGACATCCATTAGACATGGCGCGTGGAAATAGAACAGTCTACCCCAGTGAGCGAAATAAAGGGTTCGTTTCGGCATTCCATCCACCTGAAGAAGGCCGGACCGTACAACAGCCGAAACGTTGTGATAACCATGGTGAGGACAATAGTCCGAATAATGTAAATAGTGTAAACTTTTACTTATTTAATTAATAATATACGGATTATATTTTTCTGGGGAGATAAAGTACCTTTCGCAGGGTAATATTTAGCTAGCTAATGTAATAAAGCACTACTTCTGTTTTCTGACTGATCATAATCTATATTTCTTGAAACCTGAAACAAATGAAAATAATACATTAATTTCTTAAATTTAGATAGGAAATAGTAAAATTAAAAATGAAGATTAATTAAGAATAGATAAAATCATTCGAGAATTCGTTTATTGAGGTAAATGGTTAGTATGTTCTGGGATCTGGTGTTAGATCTGTGAGGTTAGCACAAGATGTTTCAGCCTCTGTACGTTACTTGGTAGAAATTCTTACAAATTCCAACATATCTGATAAATGAATACTGAGATCGGCGATGTTCCAATAAAGAAAAATCATCAAATCTAAATAAGACACTGGGCGGTCAAATGATATCAATGTAAGAAATAAATGGAATCTTTCGTGTCAAGTAAAAGCCGACATATGAGCTATTATGGCATAAAAGTCAAATGCTTTTAAAAATAGTAAAGCAAGGCATGCGTAGTCGCAGTTTTATCAGTGAACCCTGGATCACAAATATCCATCGCCGGAAGCTTCTTTGATATGTACTTGAGTGTTTCAACTTGGCGTTGAATATGTGCAAATTACCTGGTGCAAATGTATCATGAGAAATATAACGGGTTTGTGGATGCGGTGGTTTTCGCAACCTAATTTGTCTTTAAAAAAAAAAAGAACTGGCTTCTTCTATTAAAGTAGAAAGTACTTTGTGTCACGTATGACCTACCAAAAGAGTAGTATTTATCAGCAGGACAATGCGCGTCGCCATGTAACACTGTTTCTGTCAAATAAAGGAAAATAATTCAAGGTTAAGGATTAGGATGAAAAACAACACATCATCTAACTAATAAGCATTAACATAGATTTTTGGAAATACATCATATTTCTGAAATATGATATATCTGACAGTGTCAGATGAACAACACTTTGGCTTTCAACCCAGATATGAGGAAGGGACTGTCCTGATGCTCACCCTATGATCACACCCTGCAATAGAAGCTTACAGAATCTTCCGTTTATTATTGTTTGACCAATTCAGTCAACGTAAAAAATGTTGGAAATTTTTTGTAAGATATCATGGAACTGTTTTCGATTCTTTTAAAGAATTTTTCTTAAAAACATTTGTTTTTAGGTTTATTTCTTCGTGGTTTTGCAATACTTTGAAACACCTTTTTTTTTATTATTATATCCGAAACCCATCAGTTATTGATACTGCTGTTTAATAGATTTTATAATTTTTCAAACTCTGCAATTCTTCATTCATTTTCTTATTTTTTCACCCCCTCACCACAATTTATTACAACCACTCTTTTATTTAACACCCGAAAGTAAAGTTCCACTTCTAAATGACATCATACAAACACGCATGCCTATGTGTGGTTGTCTTTGATTGGATAGATAGAAATATTAACAGAAAGTTATTGTGGACTAAGGCCATAATTGTGTAGGTGTCTCCCAATCGTAGTAATTATTCGTATTGTCTGAGAAACGAAGACGCGGGTAGAAGCAGTGGACGAAAAACAAAGATATAAGCTAACTGTAATAGATAAATGATATTTAAATCAAATACACAGACAGTAGAGACATTGCTGAAGGCAAATCAAGTTAATTATGTATGATTCCATTTATTTGGAATTCGCCTATATTTTATAAATACTCGAACATTAAATTTGACAAGCGTTAGTAGCTGACATGACTTTCTTTCAAGGGACTGAAGAAAAGTTCTCATTCCGAGAAGCAAGCTCTACTATAGAACCTTCAAACGACGGGCCATTTGTTATTTTTTTTATTTCATTTTATTTTTGTTTTTTTTAAGATCTTAACATGTTCTTAAATAGGACAAAAAATAGTTCTCTTTTAAACCATTTTTAACTTTCATCGTCATGGCTGATGCTAGCTTCTCGGAAAGGGACTCATTGCACCTTCTCTAGTTAACTTTTTCTTCTGATATGGGAGTGAAAACATTATATTTTATCAATTACTAGGTTTGACGCTAAGAAAGTTCATTCACTGGGTCGCGCTAGACATATTCTCGCCAGAATCTATCTTACATATTTATAAGGATACCATTCGTCTATGCTTTGACTATAGCTCCCACTTATGATCAGGTTCTCCTACTATATATTTAGAGATTCTTGAAAAACTTGCAATGTCAATGGTCCTGACCTGGCATCTCAGCTTAATTCGCTTTCTCATCTCCGTAATGTAGCTTCTCTGTGCCTTTTTTTATAAATACTTTCATGGCAATTGTTCTGATAAACTTTCCACTGTGGTATATAGTTTTCTTGTATTCATATTGTAAATATTCATTGGGGCTAGTTTTTAGAATTGTTGTTTTATTCCCCTCCCACCACAGACAATGAATGGTAAATATGGGGACTAGTTAGTATGTTCATAGAGACAATGAGGTATTATGGTGGTTGTAGTAAGAAAGGTACGTATGAATGTGTTATTTTGGTGTAAGGAATATTGTTCTTACGATTGGGTCAGTGTTTGCGGCTAGCTAAGTTATAGTTAAGACAGAAGAAGACCGTCCTTTCCCCAATCCCCTTTTCGGCCATGTGCCACACTTATGTATAAAACAGAAAAAATATCACTTTCCTCTATGGTATATAGCGTTCAAGAATTTAAGCGAAGTATTAGATTGGAGATTGATAGGATGGTAGTTAGGAAAGTCGGTTAACTGTGCCTTGCTAAGCGATGTTTTCGTGCCGGAAGCTATCTTACATATATATAAGATTGGTCCATGTATTGAATATTGCTATCACATTTGGTGTGTTGTTTCTGTTATGTATTTAGATATTCTTGATAACGTACAAAGATGAATCTGCAATGTTATCGATCCTAACCTGGCATCTCGGCTTCAATTACTTTTCCACTGGCGTAACATAGTTTCTCTGTATCTTTTCTATAGATATTTTCGTGATAAGTTTTTGTCTTTTGTACCTCGACTTTACTAATTT